AGGAGCATGCAGTAGCCACTGCGTAGCTGCGCCAGGGTACAGCGAGTCACCCCTGGGAGATGTCGTGGGTAGGATCAGGTTCAGATGGCTGGCAGGGCCCCACCTACGTGTGCTCTCCCCCCCCTCCTCTGTGGGAGGCTTGTGTGGCCTGATCTAGCTGCCATGTCGGTCCAATCTACTCTACTGGCGAAAAGTGTCGAGCGGTCAGGTACATCTACAAAATCTTGACAGGCTTTATCAAACTAAGCTGTACTCGTGTCGCGTACAGCTGGGGTAGTACGTCGGCGTTCAAGCCGTAGGAAAGAGTTCATGCAGATGCAGCAAGGGATATACCCAAGCAATTTCAGACGTCTTTAGCTGATGTCTCGCGAGATTTTCATACTGTCTACGAACCACCTCAAACTGCCCTCGAAGGCAATTATATGCCCGCAATCCGTTTTCCGGTAAAAGTATTAGCATTTCGGTAAATCGTCTGATTCTGTAGTTAGGTTGTACGGCCGAACCAGTAAATTTTTATACGCGATATGATACGCGTATTAAAACTATCTCATCCCAACAATAACTAAAGCAAGAGTCATCAGTGATTAAAACAAAAAAATTGAAGCATTTGTTCTCGGTACAAATTTAAAACAGACGTATACGGCGGGATTTATTAACGTCAATAAATTTCGTGACAACTTATCAACTGCATCTTGTCGCTGCATGAGGATGATAACGAAGAGGACATACAACAGTTTGAAATTTCACAGAATGAATGGCATAACAGCAATGATCATAGTTCAGTTTAAATAACGATCAGGTAAAGGACACTGCATTGAATCAACGTATAGGAAGGAAGGGGGGTTGAGGGAAGTTAACGAAAATCACTTGGGGATTAAAACTAAGTGACCAATTACCAGAGTAATTTGAGGTTTACCAAATGGTCAAACTGCTTGCATAGGTCGGGTTTCTCCCGTCGTATGTAGGCAGTTTCTAAAAAGCGCAGGATTCAATTTTTTCGGGCCCGAACAAGTACTCGAAAGGCTGTTTTGACGTCGACAGAATGACCGCTGTCTAGTAGATGCTTGGTTATAGAGGACCATGATACTTTGTA